GACAGCTGGCCAGGGGCGGGCGCCGGAGGGCCCCGGGTGAGAGGAGGCACAGGTGGGCTCTGGAGTTGCAGGAGGCGCACTGTTTCGGGGAGGGCTCTAGCAGGGTCACCTCTCATCTCACTAATCGACCAAAACAGCCCCAAAAAGGGAGGTTCCCAAGAGCACAAAAGGCCCTTGTGAAGGAAAAAATTAATCTTAATTTTGCCCCTCCTCGCTCTCGATGGCATTCTCGCAGCGAAGTGACTTGGAATCCAAACCAGCTTCCCAAGGCCCCAGCCTCAGCCCTAAGCCAAGTACGTACAAGGCACCTTGATGCCAGGTGAACCCACGAAGTAGTGGAGCTGCGAGGGGCTGGGACACCAGGTGGCCCGCAGGAACTAGGCCCGAAGCTGGGTGGCTGTTCCCTCTCGTCCCCTCCCTGCTCTAGCCAAGAAGGCAGCGAATCCCCGGATAAATACAGGATACGTTTCTTTTTTTTTTTTTTTTAAATATATTTTATTGAGTTTTTACAGAGAGGAAAGGAGAGAGATAGAGAGTTAGAAACATCGATGAGAGAGAAACATCGACTAGCTGCCTCCTGCACACTCCCCACTGTGGATGTGCCCGCAACCAAGGTACATGCCCCTGACCGGAATCGAACCTGGGACCTCTCAGTCCGCAGGCCGACGCTCCATCCACTGAGCCAAACCGGTTTCGGCCAGGATACGTTTCAGTAAATAAAGCAGATCGCCCCCCTGCCCCGCCCTCGCCCCCTCCAGATAAAAGAGCAGAGTCCAGGCATCTGAAAATGGTAGACAATTCTGACCTCTGGGAATCTGTGGTGGGTTCTAAAAGAAGTCTGCTGCGGGAGTATAGATTAGTGCATTCTTTCCAGGTTGTGGCTTGGCAAGATGAGTTAAAATCCTTAGGAACAGTCATAAGCTTTCTGAATTAATAATTCCTTTCCAGGATCTATCTTAAGGAAATAAACCAGCAACAAGGATTTGTACACAGGGTTCAAAGAAGTGTATGACAAGCAAAATATATAACAAAATATGTGTACCAGAATGCCAAGAGTGGTAACTTCTGGGTTGCGAAGTTACAACTTTATTTTCTTTAGGTTTAATTACACATTTCCCCCAATAGACATTTAGAACTGCTCTGATCAGAAAGAAACTTCTTTATAAAAGCATGAACATGAGAGAAAGGGGAAGATATAGAATTGCTTTGTTTACCTTAATGATGGGACCCAAGTGGGGCCTTATGGGCCTCACCTGATTCAAACAGAAACTGGATAATCACTTCAAAAAATTAGGGATCGCCCCCTCCAAATATTGAGTGAGGCTGCGTAAAGGCTTCTTGTCGTCTCTTCCAAGTTCCACTCCACAGTGGAGCCACGTGGGGAGTAAGTGAGGCTGGAGCCCCGGAAGACACTTTAAAACTAGTTACTCCAAATATTGAGTAACCTGACTTAGCTATTGGTTACAGCTCAGTGGATAAAATCCTGTATATTTCTCACGTTTTCTCTTGCAACTACACTGTGTGATTCAGATTCAGAAGCTACGAATATCTGATCTGTAAATATGACATTCATCAGACACAGTTGTAATTTTCCAGCCTGTGGTTTCCACATGCAATGTGGATTCCACCAAACACTCACATTTACTTGGGGCTGGACCAGGGGACTTTTGCCAAAGAGCTAACAAAAGCTCCAAGGTCTTTGAGCAGAACCCTGGCAAAGCAAGGCTGCTGGTGAGTAACTTGGAGAAATGTGTGCTACCTCTGCCCTCCCCACTCTTCCCCTTTCCAAACCCGTCCCCTCTAAAAAGCCACATGCAGCCTCCATTTTGAACATTTTAATAAGAAAGTTATGAAACACGTGGTTCGTTATACAAATTTTGCATTACATTAAAACAATTTAATAAAATGCAAAGCAATGTCTATACATCTCTAGCTGTCTTCCCATATCTCCTTATCTTTTTGTAATTCAGAACATTCAGCAACCAATTTTCATTGATTGAAATCTCAAAAAAATTTTAGGCATATAAATAAGCAGTCCTAAAGTTTAAAAAGAAAAACCAGAGGGGCCACTGTTAGGACTTTGTGTGCTTGAACACTTCAAAATAGCTTTGTTTCCAAAATACTTATTTTAGTCAGCCTGAAAGAAAAGGTGGTTTGGAAATAAAAACTGAATCTCCAAGGTAAACTGAGGCAAACACTGACGTGTGTGTTTATGACTGGGCCTGACGCACAGGTCCTAGTGGGTGTGTCCTTTCAGTACCAATGACATCTCGGGATCATAAAGCAGATCTATCTATCCATCCTCTGAGGAACCCCCTGTTTTCTTAGGGCGAAAAGAAATCAGTCTCTGTGTGTAACAAAGACCTGTCCCAGCACTCTTCTCCTGCAGACACTCGCAGAGTCATGAGCGTCATCTGACTGGACTGCCCGTCATTCTGCTCTGGGCCAGGCTGGGCTGAGCTGCGGGGGCTAGCATCCTCTTCCTCCCCGCACTGCTCCTTGTGTCCCTCCCAAAGAGGCCTGCTCCGATGGGCACCCTGTTCCTTAGTCAAGGGAAATACAAGGAGCTGGGCTTCCCGCTAGCCCTCCAAATAAACTCTGTGGTTGTCGGGCAGGGAGCCAATACCAACAACAGGTCCTCTGTCACCCATGTCCTTTTCAGGAAGGGGGAGAGGCTGTCGAGAAGGAGGAATGGCAAGTGTCCAGGCTGTTGGGTGAGGGCCAGAGAGAAAAAAAAAACGGTTACAATCCTTATTCCCCCCACAGTTGCCCAGAGGATTGTGAATGAAACAGCACTGCTGACTTCAGCCTGCTACTCCAGGGGCACAGACAGAGAGCAAAAGGCAGGGCAAAGAGCCAGCCACATCAGGGCAGGATAAAGGGCTTTTCAGCTGAGCTGATGACAGAAGATGTCTGTTAGACTGAGGGCAGGTGGATGGTCCTAGTGTCCTCAAGTTGCCCAACCTCACGTGGGTGCACACACATGTTCTTGAGCACTCCCTCTCTCTCCAGTTTTCCAGTTAAAGGCCTCTCAGTTCTGGAAGTCAAAGTTCTGAATGGGGGAAATGCTAATGATTTGCATATCTGTTCTGAGGGCCCTGAAAAAGAGTCAAAAGCGCTTTACAATTGGGGGGAGAAATGCATAGCATGTTTCTCGGTTCAGGGAAGCAAAGATCTGCTTGACTAGAGGTGATACTCTTTCCAACACGTCTCAATTGATTATAGTTTTCTCTTGAAATTCAAGTCTAGGGCAAAAAAAGGGGGCAGGAGAGCAAATTATAGCCTTTTCAGACCTTCCCACAAACTAGTCTCTGATGATTCTGGTAGGCACTTAGAAGATAAGGAATTTGTGTAGAGAAAAATTAGAAAGAACTCTTCGTTGTCGCTGGTAGGAAAAACACACATGCTGGCACGTGTCCATGGGCCCTTTTCAGAAGTGTCCTAAGGTGGCCGTTCTCAGAAGACAATATGAGGTAGCCAGGTCCTGCTTAGAGCCATGGTCTTCTTACGATAAGTGCTGCTTATAGAGTTCTCCCTGGGGCATTGCTGTTACAGGGATTGTGGTGACTACTTGATTCTGAAACACAAATCTTTTTATTCTTTCAAACACCCAGAGGAAGATAAGTAGGATGCTGACATACTGGATCCAGGCAAACTTTATAATTTCCCAGAATCCTGGTAGATAAGTATACACAGTTAAGGAATCTCAGATGATATTTTCTAAGTAAATGTTACCAGTAAACGGGTAGATTTAGACAGGATATGGCAAAAATGTTTCAAATACCTTTAAGATAAAAGGGATAACAAAAGATTATTAGGACATAAATATGGATGATTCTGACCTAGAAAAATGGCTCATAAAGAAATAGGAACAGGAAATGAATTCCCCAGCCCTCACCCCTGTATGAATAGCAGACAGAGTGGTTTGTGTGGGGCTGCAATGCTGTAGCAATTTCAACTTAAGGCTTCCCACATCTGTTTCTTCTTGGGACAAGTGAGGAATCCTTTTTCCTTTTTTGAAACTGAGCTACTGGTTGGCTTCTTAGCAGAAAGGATATGATATGACTTCCACAGGGTATCGGATGACTGCATTAATCACAAATGGAGCCTCGGCAGCCCTTCCCACCAGCCAGATGGGGTTGGGGACAGTCAGCATGGTGGTTACTGCAATACAATCAGGAATTAATCCACAAATGCTCTCTTTGGCAATAAAATATCGAGGGCTATGCCCAGCTGGTGTGGCTCAGTGGTTGAGCATCAACCCACGAACCAGGAGGTCAGTCAGGGCACATGCCCAGGTTGCCAGCTCGATCCGCACTAGGGTTGTGCAGGAGGCAGCTGATCGATGATTCTCTCTCATCATCTTTCTATCTCTCCTTTTCCCTTCCTCTCTCTGAAATTAATAATAGCATATATAAAAATATTTTAATTAAAAAAATACATGTAAACTTTAAAAAAATCGAGGGCTATGAAAATACTCTTTTGACATCTCAGGCAAATTCTGTATTTCAAAACTCATATCTAAGAAATGATTTAAAAGGAAAGAAGTGAAATTGAATATGCAAAGTTGTTTACACTTTGTTAAAATACTTGTCAAAACACTTACGTTAAAAAAATGTGGAAACAGCCTATGTGTTCTTCTGTAGTTATTGAGTGGCTAAGCAAAGGAATACTATGCTACCACTAAAAATAACACCAATTAAAACTTTGTAGCAACATGGGAAAAATATTTATATTACAAAGTAAATAGAAATAAACTGGCCCTGGTCGGTTTTTTTCAGTGGTTAGAGAGTCAACCACAGACCAAAGGGTCGCAGGTTTGATCCCCAGCCCCAGCTGGAGCATGTATGGGAGCAACCAATCAACGTGTCTCTCTCACAAGGATTTTTTTTTTCT